AACCAGAGATAACAACTCTGTTTGTTCTAGCTCTAAGCTTCTACCCTAGCTCCTTGGATTTCTGCCTTCCATCCCCATCCCTTTTCCTACCTATGACGTTGGTGCCTATGTGGACCACGACTTGGGGCTGCTCCCCCTCCCCCTTAAGAATCCCGAAAACACGATCCGAGACATCACGGACCCTGGCACCTGGAGGCAACACACCAACCGTGATTCTCTCTCGTTCCCACAGAATCTCCTATCTGTCCCCCTAACTATGGAGTCCCCAGTGACTCATGCTCTCCTCCTCTCCCACCTTCCCTTCTGAGCAACAGGGATAGACTCTGTGCCAGAGACCTGTACCCCATGGCTTAACCTTCTCAATCACTTGCTGTGCCTTGCTCCTAACATTTAGTGATTCATGCTCAGCATGTCCAAGTCTCCCTACACCTTGGAATTCTGCTCACCTTTGCCATTTAAGTAACACTCTGCCTTTTTCCCTCCTTGCCAAAGTTAACAAATTAAAAATTTCCCACATTATACCCCCTCTGCCAGATTTTTATCCACTCACTCTACCCATTCATTTGTCACCTCATTGTGTCTTCTTCACACACACTTTCCAACCTGTTTCTGTGTGGCCTGCAGATTTAGCCACGACACTTTTGATGCCCTTGTCTAAGTCATCACATTAATATAAATTGTGAACCATTGAAGGCCGCGCACAGACCCCTCCAGCATTCCACTCATCACATCCTCCCAATCAGACATTGACCCATTTGTGTGTTCTCTGTTTTCTACCAGCCAGGCAGTCTTCTGTCCGTGTTGATATGTTAATGCCTACAGCATAAACTTCTACTTTGCATATTAACCTATCATGTAGACACCTTGTCAAGTGTCGTTTGGAAATTGATACACAGTACGTCTACAGCCTCCCCTTTTACCACAACACGTGTTACCATTCTAATAGATTTGTTAAACCTGATATCCCTTTCACTAAGTGGTGCTGATTCTTCCTGATTACCTGAGTTTTTCTAAGTGCCCAACTACAACTTCCTTAATGATTGATTTGAATATCTTCTCTATGTCAGACATCTAGCTAACTGACCTAAAGATTCCTGTTTTTTTTTTGTCTCCCTGTCTTCTTGAATCTGTGAACTATTAAATCAGGATCTAGGTAAACTATTCACAAACTCAATTTTCTGTCCTGAATTAAACAGTGGACTGAAAAGTCTCAATAGCCTCTCAACACTTGGTGTTCTGAAATTAACTCCAACAGATAATCTTTTGAGGGTTTATTTCCATCTTTAAGGAAGCAGTTTGTTGGTGCAGTCAATGTGTTGTGTGTAACCAGCATTTTGAGGAAGTGCAGATGTCACCATTGCCAGACATTCCCATCCCTCCATGGGTGCGGAGTGGCAGTTGTGAGGAGGATGGAGATTCTTCACTGGGATTTGACAAAATTAACAGAGTGGGCAAAGATTTGGCAGATGGAATACAACGTGGAGAAGTGTGAGGTTATTTACTCTGGTAAGAAAAATCAGAAATATAGAATTTAAACATTGCTAAAAGAAGACAAGAAATTATTATGTACTCAGAACTAGAAGAAAGAAACAGACTTGAAAAAAAGAGGCACCATTTTATACAGAATTAGAAGAGGTGCTGATTCATTTGTCCATTGTTGGTATGGAGATACTGCAAGAACACTTAACTGTTAATCTTAATTCTCAGACCCAGACAGGTAGACTCTGGTCACGATGTGGCTTTAGGAATGCAGCAGAGATTGATAAATGCGCAAACCTCACTGAATCTCAAATTGGTTTTTGGTGCAGTTCTTGGCACAGACTGGAATATTGTGTTGTTCAATAGCAGAATCATACCTAATGTTGGACAGAGGTTCCCGAGGCTTGAAGGTATGGGCTGGTTCAGCACGAATGGCCTGCTTTCTCCTGTGAATGGTCAGCAGGGAGGTGCCGTTTGACATGGCCCCCAGTTGTTAAGGATGTTCAGCTACAGCGTTGGCATCTCGCTGGCACCAAAGCTCAGCTCATTTTACTCGTGTGCGGTAGGAAAAATACCTTCGTAGCTTGAAGCAGAATTGTGCTGGTGGAGAAAACCAGTCGTGGGTTTATTGCAAAGTAACAGTATGAGACAGCTGGCTTCACATCGTTCATATTTTTGAGACATCTTCCTCCCCCAGGGTTATTTGGAATAACTACCCCAAGGGTCAGTTGGAGTAAATTCCCCCCACCTCCACCCCGGGTGATCTGAAGTAGACTGAACACCATTCAAAGACAAACGGGCCATTGGCTGATTGGCCACTTTATTAAATAATCTGGACTGCACTAAGGATTACACTGGAACCCAATATTATGTTATCAGTTGGATGCACAATATGATGTATTTGCATGTCCTACAAGCTATACATATTAACACACAGAGCCCTGTTTAATTTGGACCAAAAGAATAGATTGTACCTTTCTTCATTGCGGAAAATAAGGGTCACAGGGACTTCCAACATCTGCATTGCATGGCAACACCCTGACCAATCAGAATTGACATGTCTGGTCTGACAACAGGGATCGACAGTTAACTGTTCCTGTTGTGTCGCAGTGCCAATGATAGCCTAACCAATCAGCACTCTGTAAAATGCTGTCCTTTAATACAAGTCAGTTTTTTGTACCCAAGTCCTGATGAGTTTAAAATGAAAAACTTCAACTTTTTGCCCCCTTTCAGCAACATTTAAAACAGAAATGAAGTATTTCTGAAATGCTGAGAGGTTAGGAAGAATTGAACATCAAACAACTTGGCTGAGAGATAGTAGGAACTGCCAATGCTGGAGTCAGAGATAACACTGTGTGGAGCTGGAGGAACACAGCAGGCCAGAAAAAGGGTCCTGACCCAAAACGTCAGCTTTCCTGCTCTTCTGATTCTGCCTGGCCTGTTATGTTCCTCCAGCTCCACACTGTGTTATATATAAACAACTTGCTGTCATTGTTCATGAGTCACTGAAGGTTAACAAGAAGGTAGGGTGTAATTAACAAGCCACATAAAATGTTGGTATTTTACAAGAGGGCTTGGGTACCCATGTAAAGATAAAGATATCTTACTGTAATTATATAGGGCCTCGGTGGGACCATGTTTGGAATATTCTGTGTAATTTTGTTTGCCTTGCTGATGCAGTTTGTGCTGACTTGGATACTATTGGTGTTTGCTCAGCTAGAAATGAACCGAAAACAATTTAAATATAGGTCAGACATTTATTTTTAAGAAACTTTTCTCCTTGGGGTATGCAGAGGTCTGCATTTTTTTTTAAAACTTTGTTTTTAAACTATATTTTGAATTTCTGTGATAATCTTTATGCAGTTTTTCTAAATTAATGAATCCCTGTGTTAGGTAAGTTATCATAATTAACCCTGGATAATTGAGATCATGTCTAAGAAATTGGATAAAAAAAATATTTGTTTCAATTTTAAATCAAAGTTTTTATCAATGTTGTCCTTTAAAAGTAACACATAAAACAGTTTTTATTTAATATGGGGATATTTCTATACAGAAATCCATACCTTCCATAAAATATCTGGAATTTGGTAGCTTACTAAGAAATAAACATGAAAAATATGGTTTCTAAATAGATGATGGTTCAGTTCTGTACTGGTTTTATATTTTAGTTGAAATGATAAATGGTGTATTAAAATATGTTTGAGAAGATGGTGACTATACTCCAGATTAGTGTATTCTCATGTAACACAGTCTGCACACATCCTGGTATAACACGAACAGACTAGATCCTGATCACTACACTTGATAATTAGAGAGCTTTAAAATGTAATATTCTGTTAGAACTAATTTTATATTGTGCAGACAAGATAATTACTTGGAAATCAACTACTTTTCATGACACAAGCATGCAGAGATTTATTGAATTACTCATTTTATTGTGACCACTATTGAGTACAAATAAGGGAGAAGTGTCAGCTGCCATGCCCTAAACGGTTGAGGACACAAGGATCTCCAAGGTTGAAGGCCACCACTCATCAGTATGTTAGAGACAAAAAAACTGCAGATACTGGAATCCAGGGTAGACAAACAGGAGGCTGGAAGAACACAGCAGGCCAGGCAGGATCTGGAGGAAAGGAGCAGTTAATGTTTCGCATATTACCTTTTTCACTCCTGAAGAAAGGTAATACTCGAAATACTGACTGCTCCTTTCCTCCAGATGCTGCCTGACTCCTCAGTATGTGCTGTGTACAGCAGGAGGGAATCCCCAGCCTGGAATCCCCATCCAGATAATGATGGTAGAAGTTCAGAACACCTTTCTGCATATGACAACTGATACTAAGTGAGTTACCAATTTTCCAATGTTTGGATGCAGATTGATAGTACAGCTGAGAACCAGGCTGAATAAAGGAGGTTTGGAGAGGAGGTGAGAAACAAATAGGAGAAGCAAAACTAAGAGTCTGCAGCTATCAAGAAAGGAAATATGCCTTCTCCTCTTTGAGGATCATTTGAGTATGTTTTTCTACAAGGTGGTGGAACTTAGGCCTTTTAGTTTATTCAGGACAAAGTTGGCTAGGTTTTGATGGACAAGGTAGTCAAAGGTTATTGGTACAGAGAGGGAAGTGGAACTGAGTACATAACTAGGTCAACTATGATATTGAAAGCTGGAGCAGGCTCAAAAAGATCAAAGGACCTAATCTTGCTCTTGAGTTCTATGTTCCTACTGTCAGTTTATCAATAGTTAAAGGTTGTAAAAGTAGAAGCCAGAAGCCAGAAAGGGAATTATGCATGGCTGAGGTATTAACTGAATACTTTGCATCTGTCTTTACCAAGAGGGCAGATGCTGCTGAGGTGATGGTGACACTTGGGGCTGAGTTTTCAGAGTTGTGGAGACTCCAAGCATGCTTAAAATTACAATAGGCACTGGATCTGGAAGTCCCCCCCTCCCCCATTTCCAATAGATCCCATTTTTGTCGTTAGGGAAACAGGGTGTGGTGTGGCACACAGGTAGAAACCTAAGCTCCATGGGGCCACTTGAACACTCGACTGAGTTCAAACATCACGTTTCTGCTGAGGGGCAAGCGGCTCGTACCTGCAGTATGGGTTCCCTGGATTTCTGAAGGATTTATCTAAATAGTCATGAAGGATCAATAAGGTCTCGAGAACTGTCAAACTGTCAGGTTATTTTAATTCTCAACCATTTAAAAAAAATTGTCACCTATCTTCATCAGCAAGTGTTGGAGAAAACTCTCTTCTAACACCTAAAATAGCTGGTTATTGATATTACCCTAAATATTCTCATTATGAATGCTCACTGGTATATAAGTAATGGTTCTGAGGAGATTAATATTCGTTGGCTTCACCTGTTCTACAGATATCTGTGGGTGAAAACAAGGAGGTTCTACTCCAGCCTTTGGAAGGTGTTTGCACCTAAGGTCCTAGTAATTATACCTGATCAAATGTACTTATTGCTAACATCAATAATCTTGTAATTTAAGAACAGTGCCAGTTCTATAGGTATTTTACCTTATTCTATCCTCCATCAATAATCACTCGATAGGCTAAGACAACAGAGGATTGGAAGCAATAAATTATCTCAAACAGCCTTTACTCAGTAGCACATCATTGATAGTAAATACCACAAGGTGTTAGACGTGGTCATCTGGAAAACTACCACACTTTCCACAACCTGCAGTTATTCCAGCAAGCGAGCTGTAAGTTAATGGTCTAAATGACTGATCAGAAGTTTTTAAAGAATTAGCTGTCATTGATGCAGGCTTAGAAGTGGGTGTGGGTAGGTTAGTGATGGGAATGCCAAGAGTGAGAGCTAGAAGGCGTGATAATTAACAAAACAAGTAGGACAGAACCCCAGTGAACCAGGCAGTCCCTTATCCAGCTCTTGCCACAACATGGGGCACTTCCAATCAGTGTCTGGGGCAATCTGTCTGACTCCATCACACAATGCCTTCCCATCCTGAAAATTAAAATCGCAGCATTAGAGGCTCTTTCTCCCCTGAGGCTAGTACAGTGAGATCAGAACAGTTCTAAACCTGAGCTATTAATTTTGAAGAACAATATCAGCCATTTGTAGCACCAGTGACTGGCTGCAGTCATGACATTTCTGGTTGTAGTTCTGGTGTCAGGCCTAAACTAGTGCTGAAGTCTGTAGTGAGTACTCTATGTCGATGGATAAAATGGTACATCTAGACAAAATAACTCTGAATTAAATTCCAGGCTATGGTGGTGATTTTGAGAATGTGTGGTTTTCCTAACTTTGTGATGCTTTGTCTTTTTCTCTGTTTAGGAAACCTGGCTGGATGTTCCCAGCAGCAGATCGGAAATGGCTGTGGTTATGCAGAAGACACCAGTCAGCATGTAAGACATGGGAATTGATGGTTAATCGCATGAATAATCAAAAGTTTTGTCATCCAACCTTTCAGGACAATCAATGGAAGTAAAAGACATCATTTTATTTTAAGCAAATCAGATCTGTTTTTCTTCCATTACATATTCTAATATTCTTATAGGAAATGAGATGGCTGCTATCACAGAAATATTATAAAATAATAATTAATTATTAACTTGAACATGTAATCGTTCAGCTTTTTAATAGTATATTTAAACCAATTTGAATTCTAAAATAGCGCCGTGCAGAATGTGTACTACTTCAAGGTGCTTAGTAATTGCATCTCTGGCAAATCCCTGTTTGTTCAGCTAATTATGTTAGTGACCAATGGGTGTCCATGGTGGGGTGGGTGCTGGTGCCAGAAGGCAGATAAATCATCAAGTAAGCAGGCCTCTGGGTAGACTCCACCCTTATCTGCGGGCAAGTAAATCAGGTTAAAGGGAGATTTGTTTCTGCTCCTCCCTGTTATTGAACAAGGTCAGAGTGTAACTACAGCCAGCAGGTAGCCTCGAGGCTCTTACAGGTTGAGGAGGAAAAAATGGTTACGGGAATAAAGGGAACACCTTTATCAGAAGGAAAATGCTGACTTAGCTGGAATCATGAGAACGCCACATGAAGGGTCAGAGGGATGGCTCGGACTTGAACCTGTGGTTTTATTGCAGAGCTATTGTAACATTTGTTGCTAAAACCTTCCCCATGTGTTTATTTAAGACAAACTTAGCTCCAGATTTATGAATATGTTGATCTCCAAATAATTCTTTTAAACTGGATTCTGTAAAAATAACAATTATGAAATTGTTGCCTGTGCTGGATTGAAATCTTGTAATTATTCAGTTAAATTAGTTACCCCCCTTGGGTGGGACTAACTTTGCTTCGCAAATATTCTATTTTCATGGAGCCAGTTTAAATACCATAGAATATGGCTCGCCTATTAGCTCAGCGCTGCTGTCACATAATTATCCCTGATAAAAATTTCACTTTTATGTTGCACAATTGGTCTGTTGTAGGTAATTGCAATGAACACACAGGCTGAAACGGGTTAGAATTTCTGGGGGTTTACTGCAGCTGGTCTGTAATGGGAGGGGGAAATGAATTGGCTTCACACGAATAGGTCAAATGTTTACCTCCTTTTCGTGTGAGTGTACCCTCTGCTTAAAGAGAATTCAAACGGACTGCTTGCTAGATACTGAGGCTATGTACAGTTTTGAGGGTATGGTCTGAAGGACTTCTATCGATAACTCGGATCCAGAAATCAGCAACTCCAGAAATATCCCCAAGGTGAGCGTGAGGACTTCAATGCTGAATTTTGGACTGATTTTTTTTTTTAAGAAAAAGAATTCAGAATGTTGTTCCAAGAGGAGTTTTATCTTAAATCTTTTGTTTTCAATGTACAGATTTATTAATGGAAATGGTTTGTTGTTTTTCATATTGCTGATTTTAAGAGTGATGGTTTGCTTGTCCTTCACACAGAATGATGATGAGCCTCACGGTGAGAAGTCTGGATCATGTGTAGCCAGTGATGAGGTCTGGGCCAAAACAAGATCACTTCCACCACCAACCCCTGATGAGATCCGAAAGGATTCGCTATCGTCTCGGTCAGGAGCCACCCCAACTGGTATCTATCTAGCAGAGATAGTAGGAACTGCAGATGCTGGAGAATCTGAGATAACAAGGTGTGTAGAGCTGGATGAACACAGCAGGCCAAGCAGCATCAGAGGAGCAGGAAAGCTGACGTTTCAGGCCTAGACCAGAAGGGTCCTCTGATGCTGCTTGGCCTGCTGTGTTCATCCAGCTCTACATCTTGTTATCTCTGGTATCTATCTAGCAATTGGGTTGTGCTGGGAGAACACCACGTTGATGTCGATCCTTTCTCTTCCTGTATGACAGGAACAAATTGAGTTTGAATAATGTGAAAGAAAGCTCACTGCCTGCTGCATCAGACTTTCTAGTGAATGGACTAATTAGCCTCTTTTTAACTTGAAATTGAATTTTAATTTTAAAATAAATTCCTCATGTAGCAAAAATACTAGTTTCTGCTGAATGGGAAAATGATCATTAGCTTAAAAAGTATCAGATCTAACAAGAGAAGATTGTAAATACAGAGGTATCTTGATTTCCTGAAGCATTTATGCAGTTTAAGTTTCTTTCTTTGTACCTTGTAATTTACAATATGATTCCATACATTAAATTCTAGTTCTAACATCCCTGAGAAAGGGATGAAACATTCCTGAACAGTTCACTAAAGCATAGCTCGCCATCTATTGGTGAAGCTCTGAACTCCTTGAAATTAGTCAAAGGCCTTTGAACACCATCAGCTGGTTTTGGGGCTTTGTAATTTTCTGTTTGGTGATTCTGTACCAAACAAAGTGAGCTGGGATCACCAGTGTTGGTGAACTTTGTAATGATGGAATGTCAGACAGCCAGCTTAAGGCAATCATGTATCGGCCTAAATGTGACAACAACAACTACCTGTATTTATATAGCACCCTTAATGTACTGAGGTCCTTCACAAGAATCTTTATAGAATAAGATGTGACACTGAGTCATATAGGAGACATTAGCTGAAGGGATATAAAGCTTATTCAGAAAGGAGGCTTTAAGGAGTGACTTGAAAGAGAAAAGTAATATAGAGAGGGATTCCAGAGCTTAGGTAACCAGCAACTGAAGGCAAAACCACCAATGGACTAAAGGCTACAGATAGCATGAGAGGGGCAAGGAGGGAAAGGTTATATTTTGTCATGGAGCAGGTATATACTAATTAGATAAATTTGCCTAGTCCCACAAATACAGATTGTATCCCAGTTTTGGATTCGGTTGAAGGGGAACTCGAATAAATTAAAAATGAATATTCAAGTCATTATAACTTCATTAAAAGTGTGTAAATTCCTACCTTTTGTTTTTAATAACAAACAGGGACAACTTTTAAACCTCCACAAAAGATCCAATCATCTTTCAAAGGCCCAAAGCTGAAAGAGAAGAGAATTCGAAGAACCACAATCATGGGACTCCCACAACACGTTCAACAGGAACTAGGTCTGTACGCTGTTCACTTATAAACTGCTGACCAGTCAGCCTGTTGTATTTCTTTACACAACTGTGAAGGAGTCGAATGTAACCAGAATGGAATATGGAGCAGGTGTAGGCATTAGGTTGGTCCTCCCAGAAATGAAAAAGAATGACCATTTCCCAATTGCTCCATTGTAGCCTGGATCAAGGAGGGCATTTAGTGGCTGAAGACAGGCTCCATTTAGCTATTTAGTCTGTGCTGCATTCACTCACCTCTGCTTGTTACAGTGGGTTACCTCTGGACATGGCCCCATGGCACTGGACAGGAAACGGCACAGTGAGGTTTCCTGCTCCTGACCCGTCTCTGTAGTTTACATCATGAAGTGTAGTTGTATTGTTGCAATATGCTGTGCTCGGGAAGTTCTCCATTCTGCTGTGAAGGGCTCAGTGTAACAGCAGCTCTCTGATGATGGCAGCTCCTGTATCATTCCCTCACCCTGACCTCAAACTGTTAGAGAGCACTCATCAACAAAGAGATTGGTCGATGTTTGAAACTGTACACTGAACCTTGGCTGATTAAAACTTCAATCAGGGACCAAATCTAATAAATGAAGGTCACAGGATTCTGGGGCAGAATCTGAAAGAAAGTGGCATAATTTTCAGGAAGAAATATCACAATAACACTGGGAATTTTTCACTCTTTATGAATGATTTTTAGCACTAATTACTACAGAAAGTCTTTAACTACAATTTGAAAGCTTGGAGATGTATTTCTTTTATTTATTCACGAGATGAGGGTGTCACTGGCCAGGCAGCATTTATTGCCCATCCCTAATTGCCCAGAGGGCAGTTAAGAGTCAACCACATTGCTGTGGGTCTGGGGTCACATGTAGGCCAGACCAGGTAAGGATGGCAGATTTCCTTCTCTAAAGGACATTAGTGAACCAGATGGGTTTTTCCTGACAATTGGTAGTGGTTTAATGGTCACCATTAGGCTCTTCATTCCAGATTTTTATTGAATTCAAATTCCATCATCTGCTGTGGCGGGATCCAAATCCAAATCGCCAGAACATTACCTGGATCTCTGGATTAACAGTCCAGTCATCTCCCCATTGTGATTGTGTAATGTGATTGGGATCAGAGCTGAATATTTAATCTGCTTGCCCACAGTGTGGGCAATTATTCAATGGAATGTTTAGCATTCCTGGTGTTTCAGGTGTCTGTTTGTTAAAAGGTTGAGAATTGAGTCAGGTCATACTCTCTCCCAGTCAGCTTTAGGGTTTGATGACATTGATGTTCATCTTGTGAGCAGCTCAGCTGCCATGTACTAGCTGCCATATTTGTAGCTGAAATATTTGACCTTGAAAGCTCCTTGTATAAGCTCAATGTTGCATTTTTCCCTCTGCAGTGACTTGCTGTAGCATAGCAACTCCACTCAGTGAATGATCCAGATTAATTGCCTCATGTTCAGTGGTGTTTTGTATGGGGTGGGGGAATGGAACAGATTGTACTGTTCCTCCCTGGTCACCTTAATAAAGTTCCTTAAGTTTAATAGCTCTGTTTCGAATTGTCTAACACATGTCTCTTATTTTAGTTAAAGGGCCAGTACAGGCTGATCACAGATACGGTATTTGAGGTGGCATAGTACCATGTGGTAAGGTCAGGGGAATGCTCCCACCTTGGAGCCTGCAGTCACACCCTCTGAGTTGTCTTTTTGTGCTCTGAAGCTCATACTGTTAAAGAAGCTGCAGTGAATCCTCATTGTGTATTTTCACCTTAAAGTAAGCCCTACCTATTGCAGCAGTCGAATAAGTTGAAAATTCAGATAAATAATCTTTTGGTTCATGTTATTTCCCCACATTCTACTGGCCAGGATCGAATAGAGTGCCTGCATTTTATTCACAAAAGCTTGCAATATATTGTAGCGATGATGAAGTCTGTGGAGAAGACTTTACCTTTCTTCACTCGAGTATTATCTTTCGGTTGTCAATAAATTGAGTTCTATGTCACTTTTGAGTTTTCATGTTGTTCTTTCTGTTTTGAAACAGGGTTTGGAAAGGGATCCCATGTCTCAAACAGCACTATGAAGGTGCCTGGTGATGGCAATGCTGGCATTGTCTCAGAATCCAGGAGAGAGGGAAATCATTGCTTCAGTATGGTCCCACAATCGAGAGGAAGGGCCTCTTTGCGGTCTGTTAACTTTACAGATTCATCACAGGGAGCTACTGAATCGATAAGCACTTTAGAAATTCATGACCAACAGAACTGGGGACTAATAGATTTTTCCCAAAGACCAAAGTCATTAGCCGTTCCAAAATCACTCATACCAAGTGAACTTCAAAACCCAGTTATGTCTATGTCACCTCAGGCAACATACCTATCCAAGATCATTCCCAATGCAATACTGCCTTCTGCAGTGGATGTTGTGATGATCAACACCAGTCAGAATTGCTTGCGCACCATCAGCAGGGACAGCTTAATAATCGCTCCATCTCCTGCGTGTTCCCGATCCATCTCCCTGCAGAATTATGATGGCAGAGATTACGCTTCAAGTGATGCGTGGAGCCATTCTCAATCTTCAGAAACCATAGTGTCAAACAATTCCACTATTTCGTCACAGGGAAATACTCGGAATCATTCTGCGGAAAAGGTCAGAGAGAAATCGAGAGATGAGCACAATCTAACTAATTCTGTTCCAGATTCTCGTGCGGACACTAGTAGGTGGGTTAATGCATGTTCTGTACAGAGTGTTTTAGAAACCAGTGAGGATACTGCAGCCCACAATACCTCGAACTATCAAACTGATGAACTGAAAAGTAATGGTTTTGTCAACCAAGCACTATCTCCTGCAGAAAGCACCAGTAGTATTGTTGATGCATCGGATACACAGAGTGTAACAAGTGAGCGATCAATCTCAAGGAGCCTGTCCGTTAGGAAAATGAAGAAAGCACCAGCTCCCCCAAGAAGAATCCATTCCTTGCAGCAGAAGGAGGAAGAGCCGAACTTCCAACCAAAAGATCAAAGCTGTGTGTCACCTGTGGACAACGATGTGTTTTCACCTGCACTCAGTGACATCAATCACATCCAACCTGAACCCCATGTGGATTCTCCCGTATTTGCTGCTAACCCTCAATCTCATCACAACCCAGTGACAGCTCAAAATCGGATGGAAGAAATACCGAAAGGAAAGAGTAAGATTTCTCCAGGAAATCCAAACTCACCCATTAAATCCGAGCGAACGATGTCACCATCCAGCGGGTACTCAAGTCAGAGTGGGATTCCCACTATGGGCAGGGATCCCACATCTCCCTCTCCTCCTGGAGGAAGGTCCAAACCTGATAGATCCACTTCCCTGGTTTCTCCAGAAGAGTCACTCTCCTCCTCTTCAGCGTCAATATCATCCTCCATTTCTGAACGGTTTGACTTCTTTTCAATCCCTCCTCCACCGTCGTCACCTGCTCCACCACCACCATCTATGTTATACTCCTGGGGACCAGCATCAATCCCTCCACCTCCTGCAGGATCAGCCCCATCACCTCCCATAAGAAAACCTTCCTTCCTCTTTCCTGCAGCTGCCCGGGCTCCGCCTGTCACCACGGCAACATCCAAACGGGTTCCGCCTGTCACCACGGCGACGTCCAAACAGGCTCCGCCTGTCACCACGGTGACAACGTCCGGTCAGGCTCCGCCTGTCACCACGGCGACGACGTCCAGTCAGGCTCCGCCTGTCACCACGGCGATGACGTCCGGTCAGGCTCCGCCTGTCACCGCGACAACATCCAAACGGGCTCCGCCTTTCACCATGGCAACGTCCGATCGGGCTCTGCCTTTCACCATGGCAACGTCCGATCGGGCTCTGCCTATCATCACGACGACATCTAATCAGGCTTCACCTGTCACTATGGCAGTGCCCAATCAGGTTCCACCAGTCTCTACAACTGTGTCCTCATTGGTTACCATGTCTGTGTCCAGTCAAGTCCCACTGGTCACTACGACCACAGCTGCTCAGGCCCCTGTGGCCACTGGGACTGTTCCTGTGGCTCTCCTGCCTTCAGCCTCTGAAACTGTGCATGCTCTGTCTAACCCTGTGGCCACATCTGTCTCCTCAGCGCCTCCCACTGGACAGCAGGAAATCATTCCAGTCGCAACAAAGCACTCTTCACCCCCACCTTCACCCCCGCCATCCCATCACCCTCCTCCACCACCAAAGAAAGCAACAATAACTGGGGCATCCTCGCCTCCGTCTTCCTCCACTGTTTCTGAGCCCAAGAGGCTGTCAGGGTTTGATTGGCCTCCCCCTCCTCCTCCTTTGTCCCCATCTGCGTTTGCACCCTCGACCGAGCCATCATCTGTTCCTGAGAATACCCATCAGGGTGAGCAGGAGGCTGATTTCCTGTTTCCACCTCCTCCACCTCCTTCCCTCCTGACAAACTCAGTGCAAGAGAAGAGGTTTTCTGCACAAGATTTACAGTCGGTGTCTCCACCCTCACCCCCACCGCTACCCCCAGACAAATCATTGAAGAGCACGATCCCAGGGCAACCTGCAACTGTAGAACCTTCATCGCAACGTCTTTCACCTCCAGTTCCCACAGAAACCAAGATGTCACCCAGGCCAAAGCTATCTGCTTCACCAGCAGCCACATCCACGTCAAACCATCTTCAGCAGAAGCCCCTTGCTTTCCCAGGAACCCCACCTGCAGACTCTCATCTTTCAAAAGTAATAACTCCAAAACCAAAGATGTCCAATCAGGATTCTGAGAATAAATTGCCTGTCCAGTCTCCACCTCCTCAAAATGGCAGTGACCAAGATGGGAAGCCGATAGTCACACCATCTCTCTTACAGATGGTACGGTTACGTTCTGTCCGTGTGAACACGTACACAACTGGGGGGCTGGATTGCCAGCCCCAAGTCAGCAAAAACCAACCTGATTTAAAACCACCTGCCAAAAGTAATATGACTGCACCGAGCAAACCTGCTCGCAAGTCTCTGACACACCGTTTATCATCCTCTTCTGATTCAGAATCTTCAGTCAAACCCAACAGTTCTCTCTCTGTAGAGAAACCGACAGTCAGTGATGTTTATGGACAGAGTACACTTAAACCCCCTGAAGATGGGGCTCCACAGAAATCACCTGCTTCGACAGCCAGCTTCATTCTTTCCAAAAACGTAAGTCCCAAGAAGCTGGTCTTTGAAACTCCTCGATCACCAGAGGCAGAAGCTGAAGTGAAGAGGAACTTTGTGGCTGAGCTCAACTCTGTTTCTGAACGAATAGCCTCAAAGAGCGAATCCAAAAGTTTGACAGACGCACAGAGTAAAGTAATTTCAGAAACCACTTCTGCACAGAAAAAACCCGGCAGAATTCCCCCACCTGTTGCCAAAAAGCCTTTGTTTTTACCGAATGTGCACAGACCCCCCGCCACATCGTCTGATGTGAAAGAGCCTCCACAAGTGCAGGAAACGTCTGGTGCCCGTGAAGCTACTAGTGATGCCAAGGACGAGAAAGGTAACTCTTGGTGTGACAAATGATCTGTGTCGCAGACCTGGGATAAATGATTATAAATTGGGTCTGAGTGTTGAGTCTAAGACATTGGTTCCACAAATTGAGATTGTGTAAATGTGACACGGAAAGAACTTTTAGGGTCTAGTGATTACTTTGCAGTTTTTTAAGTCTGATCATGTCTAGTTTTCAAAAACGTTTTGTTATGAAGATAACATCAAAATGCTTTCAGTTACTACTTTTCTAGTTTTCAGCATCCAAAAAGAAAGTGTAACAATGTGAAAAGGCCATCACTAGGTTTTTAACGAATATCCATGACTTCAGTTACAGAATGTCCATGTCAAAATGGACCCATTTGTTTCTTCAATTCCTCTTGCCTGTTATCAATAGTGTTGACATCTGTGTAAGATTTGAATAAAACAAGTCTTTCAGTCTGAAGTGGGGTGGTTTAAGAAGTAAAATAGAAATGATCATAAAAATATTAATTTAAAGTGTTCAAAGTGTTTGGGAATATACAAACATTCAAATTTGGAGCTGTAGGAGGTTACTCAGCTGCTTGAGCCTGTTCCATCATGGCTGATCTGATTACCACCTACCCCCTGATAACCTTCCATGCTTTGTTTGACAACAGTCTGTCTCCTTGGTCTTTAGCAATATTTCACGACTCTGCTTTCACCACTTGTACAGGAAGAGAGTTCCAAAGGCACTCAACTCTCCATGTATTTGGCTGTTGTCTGACTTAAATGGGTAATCCTTTTTTTAAACAGTGACCCCTTGTTCTAGATAACACGGTATAGAGCTGGATGAACACAGCAGGCCAAGCAGCATCAGAGGAGCAGGAAAGCTGACGTTTCGGGTCGAGACCATAGATTCTGTTTTGCCAATCCCCTTTAGCATCTTACATACCTTAATTAGATCTCCTTCTATTCTTGTAAACTCCAGAGAATATAGACTGAAACTGCTCAACAATAAGAAAAACTCCTCCTGTCTGGAATCAAATCTAGTGAA